AATCGGAGGCGCGGGCGTTGTGGTGTGGTGGGCACTTGTAGTGAAGGTTATTATATTATCACACAGATTTCCTTGAGCTTTAGATATCTCAGACCCTACCTCTGAACGCGAGAGCCACCCAGATGATCAACCAGACGGCGGGCGCTAGAGACTATATGTTTGAGAGTTTTCTACCGTCGGGTCTAAATGAGCGCGAGACTGTCCCAAAGGCTGAGACTACGAGCTCGGCCCCCCACCCGGTAACGTTAAACACACACACACACACACACACACACACACACACACACACACACACACACACACACACACACAAAACGAACACATCACACACACACACACACACAAACAAACACACACACACAAAAACAAACACACACACATACACACACGAAACACAGAAAGCCACACCTGGAGCGTTGGCCGGAGTTGACGTATAATGTCGAGGAGCAGCTCGCTGTCGACGGCCGGGCGCGCTTTCAAAACGCGTCCAAGGGAGGACAGCAGTACTTGACAGTCCTTCGAGTCCTTCGCAGCGGTGAGGAGGACCACCATTTCGTTGAGCGAGCCGCCAAGGGCGTGCGGTTTGACCAACTCTTCTGCCAGCGCAGTGTGCACGAGCGACGCAGCGACAGTGACGTCCTCAGCGGTCAGCAGCGTGCCTGTAGTGATGGGTGATGGAAATGCGAGACGAAGGAAAAGGAGGAGGAGGGAGAGATGCAGTGAGCGTTCGTTGGGGGTTGTTGGTGGGATGGGAGGTGAACGAAGGAGCATTTGCAATGTTCAACAACGACAAACACGCATGAGTGTCGCTACTCGCGTGCGCGAGACGACAGCCACGATTGAAAATTACGACACAGCACCACGACACAGCGCCACACCCGTGCTCAGCCCACGCATGTTCTTCTGCAACAAAACGATTCGTGTGTTCAAATGTGCTCACGCGCACCTCTGGCGAGGAGCGACACGAGGAGCTGCTCCAACACATCCGCGCGACCAGCGGCAGTGGGGATGGCCTGGATGAAGGGATGAAGGATGTGATGGACGTGGAGGTGACGTGGAGATGAGGTGGGATTGAAGAATCAGAACACGAAAAAACACACACACACACACACAATCACAGCACAAGCAAACAAACAATCAACAAACAGAACAAACAAACAAACAATCAATCACTCAACAGACAGAACAAAACAAACAAACAAACAAACAATCAACAAACAGAACAAACAAACAATCAATCAATCACTCAACAGACAGAACAAACAAACAAACAATCAATCAATCAAAACAGCCGAACGCGTACCCTGTAGAGGCGGGCGATGAGGGCGAGGAGGAGGGGGTGGCGGTCGGCGGGCGAGACGGTGACGGCGCGCGCAAGCGGCGACGACACATTCAGCCGAGCAAGCGCAGCCTGCGTATAACGTATGGTGGTTGCAAGGGGATTGGAGGAGGGGAGGGGGGTAGGGGGGTTGGTCCAGTTGAGTGGATGGACGATGGATGATTGGATGAATAAAAGCAAGGCAGAGTGCACTGCACACAACTGGGTGTTGAGCGAGTGTGAGTGCACACACAGACTGGGTACATGTACGAGTGGACGTGTGAAGGAATGCATGTTGTGAAGAAGGGGCAAGGTTGGGAAGGGACACGAAAACCCGTCCACACACACACACACACACACACACACACACACACACACACACACACACACACACACACACACACACACACACACACACACATTAACACACACACATTAACACACGCACACACACACACACATTAATACACACACACGCGCGCACCATGCCCTCGTCTGTGCGGGCGACGGATGTGAGAGTGTGCAGCAGCACGGGCGTTTCGCCCTTGTCCACCTGGTCTACAATCTCCGCAAGCACCGTGTGGCTGGCGCACGGATTTGAGGGAAGGGGGGGGGGACAATCGTGTTGACGGGTACGATGAGCAAAACGACGGAGAAGGGACGCGTGTGTCGTTCAACGGTGTCAGCTCACACAGACACACAGACACACACACACACACACACAGACACACAGACACACACACACACACACTCTCTCTCTCTCTGTCACTCACCCATTGTGCTGGATGAATGCGTGGATGTTGGACGCACACATGCCCACGTACTCCTGCGTAAAGTGAAGCCTATCATAGTGACAACAGCAGCAACAAAACGAAACGCGGGCATCACAGGTGAGTGTATGTAACTGCTTGCACAAGCACACACGCACCGGCACACACGCACCGACACACACACACACACACACACACACACACACACACACACACACACACACACACACACACACACAGACACTCAGCTCTCACACTGTCATCTCTCACATCCCCCTCTTGCAATGCATGCGCAGTTGCATCACATCTTCTCACATGTTGGGGTGCCTGGCAGAGTCAATTGCTGACTCAGCAAATCCTGCGCTGAGGAGAAGCGGCGCAATGCGATCGCCGGCCTGATGACGACAGCGACAGCAATGGTGTGGATGACAGAATGAGGAATTGATGCTGAAAACCATGCAGCTACGTGTACGTTTACAGACACATACAGACACACACACACACACACACACACACACACACACAGACACAGACACACACACACCCTCACCTTGCGACCAAAGTTTGCCTGTGCGAGGGAGGTGAGGATGGCGATGGTGAGCTGACTCATCGCCATGAGCCAAAGCGCAAGCAGCGTGCCCACGCTCCGGAATTCACAGTAGTTGGTGGCGCAGCCCTGCAGTGGTGGCGTCGTTGACGAGGGGATGCGTTAGTTTGTGGATGTGTTGACGAGTTGAATCATGGTAAACACCACCATGCTGTGCCAGCGTGCGTACACGAGCATCCAACACACACAAACACACACACACACACGCACACACGCATCACGCACAATCACGCACAATCACGCACACACACATGCACACAAACACACACACACACACACTCTCTCTCTCTCTCTCTCACACGCGCGCACACACACACGCATCACGCACATCTGCGATGTAGTAGAGGGTGTTGAGTGCGGCAATGGCGGTGAGGGCAAATGCGGATATGGAGAACGCGATGGCAGAGCGCACAGCCCACCGCTTCGCCTCGGGCGGCATTGAGATGGTGAAGGCACCAATCTCGGAGAATTGCGGCAGGTCGGCCAGCCCCGCCATGGCGAGGGCAACTGCAGCGGCGGTGGCGGCGGCGGTGGTGGTGGTGGTGATGCGTTTGTGGGTGCTCGGAATGAGCGAAAGCAAGGCGATGTGATTCAAGGAGTAACAAGCAGAACCTCAGCACACACACACACACACGCACACACATACACACACACACACACATACACACACACACACACACACACACACACACACACACACACACACACACACACACACACACACACCTGGGTTGCTGTGAGGAGGCGGCGGCGTCGCCTGAACCAACGGCGCTCGCGGTGCAGTGTTGCTGCGACCATCTCCGATAGGATGAAGGGAGGGTGCTCGGCATCCCACGCGGACGCGTCCCTGATGTCCTTTCGCGTCTCCACCAAATCCACATACAGATCCGACCGATCCGTGCCAACAATGTCCTATTGTCGAGGTGTGCACGTGGGTGAGTGTGCACATGAGTGCGTGTACACATGGGGCTACAAATCGCGTGCATGGCGACGGCTGTTGGCTCGTCGCCGTACATGGGCGATGTCTTGCCTCGGACGCATAGACAGCATTTTTTTTTTGCGTGTCCGCTCACAGTTTCTTTGTCACCTCCGACACGCACACAGTGTGCGCATGCTGACCTTGAGTTTGGTGTGTGGTTCAAGGAACTTTCCCTTGTGCTTCAGGATGAATGGCGCAGCCACGATGCGCATGTCAAAAAACGTATGAAACAAATACGCACTGCATCATGTCCGCGATATGTGCGTGTGTGTGAGTGGATGGAGTGGGTGATGGGAGATGAGTCGAGGGTGGACGCGCATGGAAGCATATATGGGGAGGAAGCAAGCTCAAGCAGCACAAGGAAGCGAGAAGAAACGCGAGAAGTTGCAACACACACACACACACACACACACACACACACACACACACACACACACACACACACACACACAAGCATCAGCTTACAATAGTCGGGCGACAGTCTCATCTCCGTCTGCAACGAGCACAAAGGTCTTGCCCGCGTGCCGCCGCGAGGTCACAAACACCAACATCCTTTTGTCTTCGTCCTCGTCAGCAGCCGTGACCCCAAGCAACAAAACAAATGGCTGCTACCTACGGCGTCTTCCCCGTCAGGATGACGTGACGGAGGTTTAGATTGCCAGCAAGCAAAGAGGGCGCTCGCTGTATGCGTGCGTGGATGTGCGGCTGTGGTGGATGCGTGCGTCTGTGGTGGATGCGTGTGGATGTGTGCTGTCTCTATCTTGTTGACAACAGAACAGGTAGGCAGGCAGGTGGCAGGAGGAGGACCTCACACAGTGTGTGTGGGATCGAAGCATTCGCGTTGGGGTTTTTGCGCACACACCAGCAGTCGCTCTCGTCAGCCTGGTTTTGCTTCTTGTTGTCAAGGCAAAATTGCCTTTGCATCGCCACACGGGCAACGTCAATTTTGCCTTTGCTACCGCGCGCCTTTGGCACACAACAGCATCCTCTCCTTCCACGCGAACACCACCAGCCCACCAACCACATCCAGTGCCACCAGTCGCACACACACACACACACACACACACACACACACACACACACACACACACACACACACACACACACACACACACACACACACACACACACACACACACACACACACACACGCACGCACGCACGCACGCACGGTGAGTCGTGCACCATGTCTGCGGCGTCAACGCTGACGCCAGACGATGCGCTGCGGGTCGCCTTCACGGTGTACATGTCCTCGCTGGACCATGACCCCAGCCTGGCAAACGCCAAGCAATCACTCGGTGCCCTGGCACGCACCGTCGCTGCCATCGCCGAGAAGGCCCAGCGCTGGAGCCTGCGCATGCGCCCCATCATGGACGTCTCCCACATCCGCATCCTGGCTGACCCCAACAAGGAGGAGCTCAAACAACAGCTAAAACGAGCAAAGAAGCAGCAACGCCAGCAGCAACTGCTGAAATTGCAGCTGCAGCAACTGCAGCAGCCGCCAAACCACCCCGCTGTCACAAGCGCACGGCAGCGGAGGCCGTCCTCCTCATCCTCATCAGCCTCCTCCTCAACATCATCCATCGCTTCCGTCCACTCGTCACACTCGTCCTCACCCATCACCATCACCGGCGAAGGTCAACCTTCCGCCACCACCACCACCACCACCACCAGCATTGCAGCCCATGTCAACGGCAATGCCACCCCAGCGTCATCAGCTGCACGGGGCGGTATGGTGTCGGCTGCTGCGGTTGCCGCATCTGCGGAGCTCACACTGCGGCCCGCACGCGAGGTCGTTGTCGTGCGCAAGAACTGCGAGCGTGACGCTGGCGCCGCCCACTTCTTCTCCTACACAGCGTGGGTGGACCCGGAGGAGGAGGCCGCCTTCCACCTCCTGTATGACCTCATGGGCATCCCCACGGCATCTGCCGCCCTCACGGTGCAGCCGCACCGCGTGCACATTCCGCAGTCGCTGGCCACACCTCTGCGCAACCTGTCGTACACGGCAAAGCTGTTTGTGGTGGACAGTATGCGGCGGTTCTACCCAGCGCACTTTCGTCGCGCGTGGAGCACGAGGGCCATCCATCGCTTCATGCGCATCAAGTTTGTGCCGCTCGGCTCAGGCACCATTGGCGTCTCGCTCTCCCGCCCCAGCGCAGCGTCAGCATCCGTGTCCTCGGCGTCAATGCCAGCATCATCATCGTCATCATCGTCATCATCGTCGTTGGCTGCGACGCGGGCAGCGGTGTGCACAGCCGTCCTTGCAGACCTTCCAGCCACCACCAAGAGCAAAGTGCCGTGCTGCATCTACCAGGAAGACTTCTTTACACGCTGCCACAACAACAAATATGACGTGCATGAGGTGGCGCTGTGTCTGGCAGACCACCTGCGCTGCCCACAGCTCTACCCGACGCTGACGGGGGTGCTGTGCACCCCTGGCGAGCTTGACATGTCACTCGTTGAACAGCTGCTCCTCTCGCGCGCACAGAAGCACTACCTCGAACTCATCCACGCAGGTGCGCCGTGTGCGGTTGTATTTGTGCGAGGATTTACGTGTGTGTGTGTGTGTGTGCGTGTATTTGTGTGTGTGCGTGTATTTGTGCGTGTATTTGTGCGTGTATTTGTGCGAGGGTTTACGTATGTATGTTTATGTGTATTTGTATGTGTGTGTATGTGTGTTCACATGTGAGTTTGCGTACCCACCTGCTTGCGTACCCACCTGCTTGCGTACGTGCATGTATGCGCGTCGCCTCCTTCATGTCAGTGCGCGCTTGGTGCTCCTCTTCTTTGCTACTTCGTCCTCGTTCACCACCCCCCGCCACCCCCCCCCCCCACGAGCGTGTGTCTCATCTTTGCCACCACTGCCACCTACTCACACTGCATGAAAGGTGCAACGAAGCTTCCTGATGAGTGCCCGTTTGACGTGAACCTCCTTCCCGCAACAGACATCACGGTACAAATTATGCGTCGATGCATCTGCTTGCATGCATGCACGTGCACCCGTAACAAGTACGCGTGCTTTGCTCTTGATGATGTTTCTTCTTTCGCGCATGCGTGCACACACACACACACACACACACACACACACACACACACCACACACACACACACACACACACACACACACACACACACACACACACACACACGCACGCACGCACGCACGCACGCACGCACGCACGCACACACACACACACACAAACACGCACGGACGCACGCACACACACACACACACACGCACACACACACGCACACACACACACACACACACGCGTACACGTCCTCACATCCCGCCCCCCCCCCCACGCGTGAAACATGCGTGCGCACATTTGCTTGCATCAGCTGGTTGAGGAGCAGCGCGTCATCACAGTGGATCTTCCATCCACAACAGTGCGTGTACAGCGACCCGAGCCCGTGCCTGCGAGCAAGCAACACCACAACACAGCGCACGCCCCACCAGCGGCGACAGCAGCAGCAACCAATGTGTCCGCATCCTCAACGGCGTCCAGTACGCTATCATCAAGCTCCGAGTCACCGCAGCAGGCAGGAGCAGCAGCCACCACGTCGCAGGCGGACATGACGCAAGCACAACAACAGGAAGTCAACAACGCCACGGCTGTGAACGGTGTTGGTCCGACAACTGCGGCACAGGCAGCGGTTGAAGACAACAGAAACAGACGCGACAAGGCTGATGCTGCTGTTGTACAGCAGCATCAACACCACCAACAGCAACAGCAACAGCAAGTAGAAAGAAGAGAACAGCAGGAAACACAACCGCCCGTGTCACACGACCACCAACAACACCAGCAGTCGTTGGGCAGTCAGAAGACGGAGGAAGTGGTGCATGAAGCAGCAACAGGGACACATGCAGCGCGGGAGCGTGGGGCGATTGGAGCGATGGTGACAGATACCCACGATATTTCCGTGGTTGAGCATGGAAGTGATGCAAGGGTGATTGTTCTTGATGATGGTGAGGAGGTATCAGCACCAAGCACGGCAACTCAAGCTTCAACGACAGACGCAGCAGAAGCAAAGGAGGAAGCCACGGCTGGTGCATCAACGACGAGCACAACAGCAACGTCATCGTCATCGTTGGCCGTCGTGACAACCACATCAGCAACAACATCAGCAACGACAACGGCGACAGCAACAGCAGTTGTCTCCGCCAACACCACCGCTGCCCGGCTGCCGCCCACAGCCATGAAACCTCCCCGGGAGAAGTCAGAGGAGAGCGCACCCGCACCACCACCACCATCATCATCATCATTATCGTCATCGTCGTCGTCATCACAGCAAACACATCCACAGCAGCAACACCCGCAGCAACGCGATGTACAACCCCTTCAGCCCAAGCATGACGACACGGCGGTATCATCCGCGCCAACCACGACAACAACAACAGCAGCAGCAACACCACCAACAACAACAACCACGACAACAACAATAACAGCAACACCAACAACAACAACAACAGCAGCAGCAACAACAACCGCCAGCACCGTCACCAGCGCCACTCGTACGAGCACAAAGTCGGTCCCTACTGCTGGCGACGATGGACACAGCCCGCACCAGCACGCGACGCTGTTCCGTGCACGTGGTGCCCCCGCCGGCTTGGTTGACGTTGACGGGCTATATGGGCGCGTGTACGAGACGGCGCCTGGCAGCCCCATTTACAAACACGTGGATCGGGAGATTTACTTCTTCTACAGCAGCCTGGACAACAGCTGGAATTTGGGTCCGGACCCCCGCAAGTCGCGCGTGCAGAGCGTGCACGCGTTTTGCCGCCCACATGACGTGGCAGATCACACCCCTGTCAGCGTCATTGGCCTGCCGTGGCACTTTGTAAACCCGAAGAACTACGTGTTTGAGACTGTCGACTCCTTTCAGATGTCCGTGCAGTCCTCCGAGGAGCAGATGGAGACGGGCGTGTCGCTCACCCACCTGGAGAAGACACGTGAGCTGATGAAACTCGAAGCGGACTTGGAGTCCTTTTCCCACCGAACGGGAACAGCCAGGCTCAAGGCGCGCTCACATCCCCGCAAGACCGTCAAATCCCTCATGCACACGTGAGTCTGTATGCGTTTGTCTTATGTGTGTGTTTGTACTTTTGTGTGTGTGTGTGTGTGTGTGTGTGTGCTTTTGTGTGTGTGTGTGTGTTTGTGCACTTGTGTGTGTGTGTGTGCACATGTGTGTGTGTGTGTGTTGCCCTATGATCACCCGTTGTTGCCCTCATCTTCCCTGTCGCCACCGCCACCACCACGACGATGGTTAACAGCACGAAAGGCGGGTATGAATGGAAGATACCGCGCTACTGGCCTGCAGACGTGCACTACACCCCAGTGCTGCTGTGGGGCGTCCCCAACGTCAACGACACCCTCCTCTCCGTCACCCAGCAGCGTGTACACCCTTCAATCGAGGTGCGTGTGCGTGTGTGTGTGCGTGTGCGTGTGCGTGTGCGTGTACGTGTACGTGTGTGCACTTGACCACCACGGTCTGGACACAAGCATCCAACCACCTCCAATTAACCACCACCACCACCACCACCACCACCACCATCACCATCACCATCACCATCACCACCATCGTCATCATCATTATCGTCAGGTCCGTCCAATTCGCGACCGGGGTCACCCGTGCTTTGGACAGCTCGGAGTCTTCGCTGCAAAGGAGATTGGACCAGACGAGCAGTGAGTTGCACGGCGTGTATGTGTGCGTGCGTGCGTGCGTGCGTGCGTGCGTGTGTGCGTGTGTGTGTTTTGATCGCGTGTTTGCTTACATGCGCGGCCGTGTGCATGATGAAGAAGATACGGGGAGGGGCACTGAAGTCATGGAGTGATTTTGACGCCACCCATGACCTTGGTATGGGCTAGATTCTCACAACTCACGACTCACGACACGCACGCACACACACGCACACACACATACATACACACACACACACACGCACACACACACACACACACACATGCACACACGAACGTGTCGCCATCAGCATCGGGTTCTACACAGGAATGGTGCGGGAGCCGGCTGGCGCGAGCGAGTACAACGACAGCAAGTACATCACGGAGCTGCACATGGAAGGACTGTGGCTGGACATTGACGCCGCGCAGGTCAGTTTGGAGCAGCAGCGGTGTTGTCCTGATGGCTTTGGTGTCGTCTGGGCGCTGGTGTGGTGTTTTAAATCATTTAACAGTCGCTCCACGCGCACACAGAGGTTGTTGATAAAGGTGTAGATGCACACACACACACACACACACGTGCACATACGCATGCATACATGCATGTCTTCACACACATGCATTCACGCATGTGCTTTCACGCACATGCATTCACACACACGCACGTGCACACACTTTGCGCCTCACATTCCGCCGCTTTCACTTTCCCCTCTGAACCATGCATCGCAGTTTGGAAACGAAATGCGTTTCATCAACGATTTCAGGGGCATTGACGAAAAGAAAAAGGCAAACGTCGCCTTCAAAATCAACGTGAGTTGAGATGACCCCCCGTGTGAATGTTTCCACGTTTCCGCTTTTTTGATGTTTTGCCTCCAGCGCACCCACGCTGCACTGTTGAGTCAAATCTTCAAGGTTTCCTCCATAAGCCTGCTTCCACTCAACACATGCTTTGCTCTCAACGCACCATCCTCTCCACTATTAACACACACACGCACACCAACAAATACACACACATAATCACACACTTACACACAATCAAACAATCACATTCACACACACACACACACAACACACGCGCACACACACACACACACGGTGGCACAGTACTGCGGGTGCGGCATGAAAAACATGGGCATCACGACCATGCGTAGCATCTCCGTGGGCGAGGAGCTCCTGCTTGACTATGGCGAGAAGTATTGGGAGGCGATCCGATGCAACATGGACATTGAGAGCGGAGAGTTGGCCACAACAGAGCAGCCGAGCACCGAGCGGGAGATGGCTGCATCTGCCTCCGTGACGGAGGTTGTGACGGCTGGCTCCCAGGCTGCGTCGTTCACGGCACACATGTCGCCGCGAGCGTCTGCCACGACGACGCCAAAGGCAAAGAAGCCGAAGCGAGCGGTGATGGAGCGAACACCAGCGAGTGCAGCGCGCACACCCGCACGCGTACTCACGCTCGGTGGTGATCCAACAGCACCATCATCTTCATCTTCATCTTCATCATCGTCGTCGTCGGCGGCGGCGGCATCCTCGGTATTGTCAACAAAGGGAACACGCGGACACGAAGGCACGAACAACAGCCGCCATGGTGTCGATGATCAAGCTGATGACGACGATGATGACGATGACGATGATGATGATGATGAAGTGACTGATGCTGGTGCAATCGATGATGATGATGATGATGAAGACTACATGCCGTCACACTCGAGCCGCGCAGGTGGGCGCAGCAGGAAACGCAGAAGCAACAGCCAGCGCTCCGCTACTGTCGCTACCACTCCTGCCGCTGCTGCTGCTGATGATGATGACGACGACGACGACGACGGTGGTGGTGATGATGATGAGGAGGAGGATGATGGACTGAGTCCTCATCGCCCACATCATCGCAATAACAGCAATAACAGCAGCAGCAGCAGCAGCGGGCGCACAAGTACAAGGCCGCCAATTGTTGTTGATGACGGTGGTGACGACGACCTGTTTGTCATGGAGGAAGTGACGAACGAGTCTGGAGCAGGCAGCGCGGCCATGCACGACGTTGGCGGCGTGATTGAGAGCTTTCCACTCGCGGATCGCGGCATCATGTCATGCACATTCCGGCTGTCCTACCCGCGCCGCTCGGGGCTGACCAAGAAGATTGTGTTTGGGTTCTTGCGCGCGTGCATCCCCTTTAGGAAGCCACCGCGCATCATGGTTGTGCATGGGCGCAACCAGCACGGCGAGCCGTGTGTGTTTGCGAGCGTGTGGCTGGAGAAACGGCCCAGCATCCTGCGAACCGCAGAACGACTGCGCGCGCTGTACATCAACGGTCAATTTGACGGATTTGAATCGTTTCGCGGAATGTGGGAGGAGATAGCCACGCTGTTGCAGGCAGACAGCGCGCCCGTGACGAACATGGACTTGCATGCACTGCTGCAGGACGCAAGGCGGAGCAGGGTGAGAAGTTTACTCCGCCGTGCCATCAGGGCAGCCAGCGGGCAGACCGGAGGTGCAGAAGCTCGACACCACAGTGATGATGGTGATGATGATGACGATGGTGATGGTGGTGGTGACCAGCCAGAGGATGCGGCCAGCAACAACACTGGCGATGTTGCTGGTGACGCATACGACAATGACACCACCGGTGAGCACCACACTGCTGATGACGATGACGATGACCATGACGGTGATGGTGATGGTGTGGAAGGTGGCGAAGAGTATGATGTTGAGGACGATGCAGGTGATGATGACGAGCTGCACTACAACAACGATACCATCCCCCGCAAGAACGACGACAACGACGATAATGATGATGATGGTGGTGATGATGATGATGGTGACGACGATGATGGTGACCTGCATTATTTTGACGAGGAGCTGCACTCGAAGCGTGCAAAGGTGAGCACGAGCCGGCGAACCATCGGCTACTACAACCCCAACATGACAACATCGGTCGTGTCATCGTCATCGTCTTCCTCATCACAGGCGCAGCGATCGAAACCGACGCAGCCACACTCGCAACAGGGCACGCCATACAGTGCCCGGACAGCAACCGCACGCTCTGAATCGCTGCTGCCTGCATCATCATCATCACCATCGTCGTCAGCAACAGCAGCGTCAACCAGCAACATTAGCGGGGCCACCATGGTCACAACCACCATTGCACGGCCATCAACAACTCCGCAGAAACACGCACTATCGCCCACATTGGCATCGTCTGGCACCACCGCTTCATGATCACGGCAACACACGCATCACATTCTTCAGCAAAGACGACGCCGCCGACGCCGCCATCACCATAGTCTGTGTTGTGTTGTGTTGTGTTGTGTTGTGTTGTGTTGTAGTGTGTTGTGGCGTGGTGTGTTGTGTTGTGTTGTGTTGTAGTGTGTTGTAGTGTGTTGTGGCGTGGTGTGTTGTGTTGTGTGTCTAGAAGAGATAGATAACGAACCGAGGATATACTTGTTGCGATCCTCCCTGGCCGGCGTTTGATGTCTGTGTTTTGTTCACTCCAGCTTTGGTGCTTGCGTCTTGCGTGTGTTCTCTGCATGCACGCATGTTTGTTTGTTTGTTTGTTTGTTTGTTTGTGTTTTGAGATTAATTGACGCCAATGCATGATTGCGTGTGCTTTGGATGTGCGCGTTTTGCGCCCCTTGCTTGTGTTGTCATTATCATTGGGTGTTTACTTTGCACAGTAAAAGTGATTTGTTGTACCTTGTCGCTGCCACTCCAAGACTGGCATTGATCAGAAGCACACCCGCAACACACAACTAAGCACAAACAAGCACACGCACACACACACACACGCACACACACACACACACGCACACACACACACACACACGCATGCACACATCCACGCAAAAGGTCTTGCCTATCCTTCCTGCATCAACCAGCGAACATTCCACTAAGTAACGACACGCCACAACACACGTCACAAGCCATCAAGCGAAACGCCGCTCGTCATCTCCGTGAGCCGGTGTTGCCACGACTACCATCACTGTTTCCGACAACAGACATCATGCGATCTATGGGCGACAGTTTGTTCTTTTCTTTTCGCCGTTGCTTCCGCGGCTGCAGGAACACAACAAGTTTCTGCACGTGTTGGGCGGCGAAGAGGGGGGCGAGGTGTGGTGCGATGGTGAGGATGAACATGCGTGTGTGTGTGTGTGTGTGTGTGTGTGTGTGTGTGTGTGTGTGTGTGTGTGTGTGTGTGTGTGTGTGTGTGTGTGTGTGTGTGTGTGTGTGTGTGTGTGTGTGTGTGTGTGTGTGTGTGTGTGTGTGTGTGTGT